TGCATTATTTTTTCTAGCTCTGTGAAAATGTTTTTGGTATTTTGATAGGGATTACATTGAATCTATAGATTGCTTTGGGTAGTATGGACCTTTTAACAATATTAATTCTTCCAATCCATGAACATGGAATATCTTTACATTTGTTTGTGTCATCCTCAATTTCTTTCATCTATGCTTTATAGTTTTTAAAGTATAGATCTTTTACTTCCTTGGTTAAGTTTATTTCTAGATATTTTATTCTTTGTGGTGCAATTGTAAATGGAATTGCTATCTTAATTTCTCTTTCTGTTACTTTGTTATTGTATAGAAATGCTACCAATTTCTGGGTATTAATTTTTTTATCCTGCAACTTTACTGAATTCATTTATTACTACTAACAGTTTTTTGGTGGAATTGATAAGGTTTTTCTGTGTATAGTATCATGTTATCTGCAGATAATGACAGTTTTACTTCTCCCTTAACCAATTTGCATGCCTTTTGTTTCTTTTCTCTCTGATTGCTGCAGCTATGACTTCCAGTATTGTGTTAAATAAAAGTGGCAAAGGAGATATGCTGATCTTAGGGGAAAAGCTCTCAGCTTTTCACAATTGAGTATGATATTAGCTGCGAGTTTGTCATATATGGACTTTATTATGATGAAGTATGTTTCCTCTAACCCCACTTCATTGAGAGTTTTTATGAAGAACAGACACTGTATTTTGTCAAATGGTTTTTCTGCATCTATTGAGATGATCATATGATTTTTATTATTAATTTCATTAATGGAGTATATCATGTTGATTGATTTATGGGTATCGAACCATCCTTGTGTCCCCAGAATAAATCCCACTTGATCATGGTAAATGATCCTTTTAATATATTGCTGAATTCACTTTGCTGATATTTTGTTGAGGATTAGTGCATCTATATTCATCAAAAATATTAGCCTGTATGCAAGCTATGTTTTGGTACAGAAGTCTGGACCTTGAAATAACTCTCACATCTCTCTCTCTCTCCCTCTCTCTCTCTCTCTCTCTCTGTTAAGAAATGAAAATCCAGAGGCACCTGGGTGGCTCAGTTGGTTGAGCATCTGACTTTGGCTCAGGTCATGATCTCACAGTTCGTGGATTTGAGCCCCACGTCGGGCTCTGTGCTGACAGCTAGCTCAGAGTCTGGAGCCTGTTTCAGATTCTGTATCTCCCTCTCTCTGACCCTCCCCTGCTCACGCTGTTTCTCTCCATCTCAGAAATAAATGAAAACATTAAAAACTTTAAAAAAACAAACAAACAGGAATGAAAATCTTCTGAAAGCCATTTCCAGTGTCATTGATTCATTTATTTAATAGAGCTGATTTAATTCCTAGGCTGTGTGTGTGTGTGGCACTCTTCTAGGTTCTTGGTCCCTGTTATGCATCTTAAGAAATAAGATAGGATTTGAGGAACTGGCCAATAAGTATATGCCTTACTAAGCCAAAACATTATTATTTCATACAATCTTTGTGTAGTTTTTCTACCTGCTCATAGTTCAAAATGATCAGGAGAAACCATGTGCATGTGACTCTAGGAAAGGTTGTAATTGTTATTTACCTTTTATTCCACCTCATACCAGTTTTAGAGCTGGCCAAAGATAAATAGTGTCTTATTTTCAGCTTCTCATACAGGTAATGTTGAGCGACGAGAATCTCTTAAAACTGATTCCTAAACTGCTACAAATTTTTGACCTTAAAAGATCTAGAACCAATCAGGAATAAATTATAATCAAGTGAAAAAGAGAATGAGGATGTTAAAAATCCAGACCTAAAATTTCTATGTAAAAACGTATCATCTTGGGGTGCCTTGGTGGCTCAGTTGGTTAAATATTCAACTCTTAATTACGGCTCAGGTCATATCAGGGTCATGGGATTGAGCCCTACATTGGGCTCTACGCTGAATGTGGAACCTGCTTAAGATTCTCTCTCTCTCTAAAATATATAAAATGAAAAAAAATGTTTAAGAGTAAAATCCTATTATTTTTTAAATAAAGAATTTAGGGAACACCGGGGTGGCTCAGTCAGTTGAGCATCTGACTGCAGCTCGGGTCATAATCTCACTTGCTGTGCATGAGTTCAAGCCCCACCTCAGGCTCTGTGCTGACAGCTCAGAACCTGAAGCCTGCTTCAGATTCTGTGTCTCCATCTCTTTCTGTCCCTCCTCTGCTTGCTTTCTCTCTCTCAAAAATAAATAGACATTAAAAACATTTTTTAAAGAATTCAGAGACCTAGGATAGAAATTTATTAATGAAATTTTAAATCTGAAACTAGAATTTTATGTAGTTTGAATTATGACATGGAAATTATATCATTTGGTTTAGCAGATGCATACTGAGTCCTTACTTCAAGCAGTTAGCAAGACATAGTTCTACATTGAGAAATAAGTCTTATATGAAATAACTACAATATTACACAGAAAATAATTGTTCTAAATATTTATTCTATTTAAAACAGATAAATAAGAGATTTATTCCTGTTAGGAGGGATTATAAAAGATTTCATAAAGGAAATGTCATCTGATCCAAAGCCAGTGAAGGGGAAGAAATGTGGGGACCTAACAAAACCAACCCAAGTATGTTACAGGCTGTTTTTAGAGTCCAGCCAGTAACCCCACCTGAATGGAGTACTGGAGAAAAATAAATAAATGCAGATGATTTATAGTAGACCATGGAGCCCCCCCAAATGTTATCACAGGAGCTGTAAGTTTATTTTGAAGCCCACTGAAAACCATGGAGGGATTTTGAAACAAGGCATAATAATTAAAACTGTCTTAGAGAGATTAGTCTGACACCCATGTATAAAATAGATTTTAAAATATCAGAGATAGAAGACTACCATAGAGGTTTTTGTTTATATTTCAAGTTGTTTATATTTCAAGGTTTATATTTCAAGTTTATTTATTTATTTTGAGCTTTGAGGAAGAGACAGCAAGGGAAGGGGAGAAAGAAAGGGAGAGGGAGAGAATCCCAAGCAGGCTCCACACTGTCAATACAGAGCCTGACACAAACTGTGAGATCATGACCTGAGCTAAAGTCATGAGTCAGAGGCTTAACCACTAAATCGCCAAGACACCCTTGATGCTATTGTTACATCAGGTCACATGGGTCTAAACTAAGATAACAGAATCAAAGTAGATGGCAGTTCCATTAACATGAAACAGGAAATAGAATCCAGGACATGGATGCAAGAGACAGTGGTGAGGGATAACTAGAACTTGAGAATGCATGTCAGCAGTGAAAGAGGGAGTATAAGATGTTTTGAAGTTTGATGTCTGTGTGCCAGGGAAGCTGACAGTGTTCTTAAAAAGAGAAAGATAAGGTTTGAGGAAAGAAGAAAAATAATGTTTAATTTATATAATAAATATTTATTGAACACTTACTATGTGCCAGACACTGTTCTGGGGAGATGAGAATTATCTTTGATTTTTAAAACATTTTATGTAGAAAAGGCACTGTTCCCAGTCTGTGTAACCCCAAAGGCAGAGCTGGAGCCAGTGAGTAGGAGTCAGGTAGGAAATAAAATATCTAGTAAGTGGAGGCTTCCTGATAAGTAGTAAGAACTCTGTTCCAGGCAGTATTCAAGCATAAATTGGATGATAATCTTTCAGGCACACTGTGACAAGGGATTTCTGACTTAAGAGAGAGGTTAGACTAACCTTCTGCAAGTTTTCTCCCAATTTTAAGTAAGAGTATATTCTTTCCTATGATCTAGTCCTGTGGGTTCTATTATTAATCTCTGGTTTCTCTTAATTATTAAATAAATTACTCAATCTGTCTGCCATTCAGTAAAACTCACACATTTGCATCTGTTATTCTTGAATTATTTTTGGTTAGGGCTCTTCTTTATTAAAAAATTCTAACCAGTAATGTTACCTTTCTAGCTAATTTAGAATGCTAACCCTGGTAGACTGGGCTATAAATATCAGAGGGATAAAGGATTTCTTGTGCCTAATAATATTTTTGTTTGGAAGAAGCCCTGCAAATGAGAAATGAATTATCTTGACTTCAAGATTGCGATGCAGTTTCTGTATTTTGCAGTAATTCAGAAAGGAAAAAAAAAATATCTCAGGGAGGTTCATTTTGATACAGCATGTTAAAGAAAGAGAATAATTATTCTCAAAACCCTGTAAAGCTTTAGATCAGAAGCATTTATCTGTGTTGCATTAAGAAAAGAAGAAAGGAAAGAGAAGAAAAGGAGAGGAAAAAGGAAACCTGTAGTGAGCTCCGCTATAAGCTGTAGTTAACGCTTTGCATTTCCTGGTGTCTTTTGAAACGTAAAATTCCACAACAAATAGCCCTGTAACGTATAACCAGTATGAAGATTCAATTCAGATTTAAGCCCTTTGGTTTGCTTTTGAATCTTGCTATTTTCTGCATTTGTTTTGACTGCTCTCATCATTCAGGATTGACGCTTGGATGGGTGTGTAGGAGGAAGCAGCAGCAGCAGGCTTACAGCTTGCAGACAAAAAAAAATCTGCCTTATCTGATGGCTATTATTGAAAATGCGAGGTGTAGCCTGGGCTGGGTAATGAAGGGGAGCGAGCGAGGGGGAGCAGGGAGCATGGAGCTGCATACTGATGAGTGTAGGAGTACTTGATAAAAAGAATTCTGGCTGCTGGCCGTGCATTGCTCATTGTGGAGTACTCCAACAATCACATAGAACGCAGACCAGCCTAAGCTGACAGCTTGATATGCCTTCTTCTGCTGCCTGGTTTTGGGGGCTGTATGACGTACTGGTCGGTAGTAAAGATTAATATGTAAGAAATGTGGAGCTAGGATCAAGTCATACTCCACAGCCTGCCTGGCAAACTATGTTTTACTTCTGACTTTGCTCTCTCGCTGAGAACATTAATCTGTCAAGCTGGCGGGCTCCTTTGATAGCAACTTTCCCAGGAGCATGATGTGGCAATGCCACCTCTCAGCCCAGGACTACCGCTATTACCCAGTGGACGGCTACTCCCTGCTTAAACGCTTCCCTCTTCATCCTCTTACAGGACCCAGATGCCCCGTCCAAACAGTGGGACAATGGTTGGAAAGCATTGGGCTACCTCAGTACGAGAACCACCTGATGGCTAATGGATTTGACAATGTACAGTTTATGGTAAGACTCTCTCTGTGTCCACGGAGCTGCCTTTTGTCTGTCTTTGCTTATGTTTCTTACACGGCTCAGAGGCAGCCTGATTTGCACCAAAACCGGTCAATTTATGTATGTAACTGCATCAGAAAATCGGATGCCCTTAGGACTGAACTTACTGTGTACATATAGACACTTGCTGAAAAATGAGATCTATGGGCATCCATATACATATGTATTATATGAATGAACCGGTGAGAGTACTATTTATAGGCAGTGAAAGAAGATTAACATTTAAATTCTCCCTGTCATTGTGTGCTTTTTATAAATTTGTAATCTCAGAATACCCAGTTAGATTATAGTACTCTTCAGTTAATTCTAGATTCCTAAAACATATTCTTTCATTTGAGCATCAGCATTTAATGATTAATTTGACAATCTGTTATGTTTACGGTGTGAAGATTAATTTTTCTCCTGATAATTGTTCGATAAGCAGTTTAAATTATGTGGACGACCTTTAGTTTGTTAGCAAACTGCTTCAGATGGTCAATTATGGAGAACATTCACTTACTTACATATGCTGATTGAAGAGCACTGAAGTGTTATTTATTACTTTAAGTAAAAAACAAACACTTCCATCAATTACCTGTCTATTTAGAAAGAGAGGCTGATGATGGACTAAGTACATTCATGTACTTCTGAATACAGTCTGCATGCAGTCTAAACCCAGTATGTGCAAACTTCTCACTATGATGAATATAGGTGAGGAAGGAGGGTGGGGAGATGTGCAGACCCAAAATACAGCTTTCTAATCATTCATATACCTCCCCCAGTGCTCATCAGTTTCCCTTGTTAAGCTACGTCACAGTTCTTATTACCTTTCCTTGCTTTTAAGTTCCCATCACACGTATTACTGATCCCTAAATTTAGAGAGAGTGACATAAAATAACCATGCAGCACACAAATGGCTTGTAAAAATAATTAATAGCTATTTCTAAATAAAATGCTGGGGCTGACATCTGAAGCTTATTCATACCAGAATTGATAACAGAATATGAGAGCTAGTTATGTTTTTTTTTAATTTCCATTTGAGATGATTTTTCTCCTAGCCTGACTTGGCTGTTGTAGATTTAAAAATTAGTCAAATTGTTAAACTTCTGCCTCTTTTCTGAAAAAGTGTATCCCCCGTGAGCTTTCATAACAACCTATATAAATGTAAAAAGACATACGAACTTGAAATAATTTTATACATAGAATTCTTTATAAATCTGTTTTTTATAATAGGATATGCAGCTACTATTGTTTTTCTCATGTTAAAGAGAACTGTCACTGATTAGGTAGACAAGATATTGTGGTTATTGAAATGGGAAAAAAGTGAAATTTCTTCAGTTGCTATGATAGTCTTAGGACACTGAGAAGATTTAGGACAGACTTAGGACACTAAACAGAGAACATTTGGGAAACTATCAAATAGGATGGAGACCTTTTCATGGTTATTTATATTTACTGCACATTTTGATGTCTTTATTCTTTCTCTCTGACTCTACCTGTGAAAGACTTTCTCATTCCCGTTCCTCATACCCTTGTCCAAATTTATTCTGATCCCATGAGAAGTTAGGTTGGTCTTTGGACTCTGGCTACTTCCAAATATTTTAATTCAGCACAATTTTCCTCTGAATATTAAACACATTTCAGCAAATATAAGCCCTTTTTGAAAGCCTGAAAGTGAAAGGTTATTTAAACAAGTTTCGAATAAGCATTTAGAGGTCTTAAAACAACGTTCAGGAATGAATTATGTATAAGCACTCCAAAATGTATCTGGGAGGCAAAAATCCTGGGTATACGTGACAAAACCAGGGTCTGAGGTTCTTGATAGATTATTGTCTTTTTTTTTTTAATTCTAAGTTTTATATATAATTTTCCAGAAAATTTATAATATATTATATATATATATATATAATTTAGATGAGTCAATCAAATACTTTCTTCCTGAGACAGAATTAATTAAAAAAAAACTTTGCTCATTTAGAGGAGTTAATGATGAAAATTGAGCAAATCACAAAATGGTGTCATCAATTGTTGTTTTATATGCTGCTATTCAGTATTTATTTGCTACTAGTGTCATAAAAAATCAGTTTCTACACTTATAAAATTTATTGATTGATTTTCATAATCAAACTTATTTAATTATGAATTTAGTTAAGTACACTAATATGATCAGCCCACTTTAAGAAACATATTTCAGTAATGGGGTGAAAAATCTGTTAGACCTGTTTAGTCTCCACTCAGTATCATATTCTAGCTTTTATTTTTCTTGAAGCACATTCTGACCTGCATTTATTCATCCTGTTGCCTAAGCAACAAGCACCACACTCCCATTAACTGTGATGTAGTGCAGGTCTTATTAGCTTTTTAGAACAAGACAGTAGAGACATCAAAAGGATATAATTAATGTTGCTTGAAACTTCATTGCACATCCCTGCATAAATATGCTTTATTTAGGAAACATTCTCAAGAGTTAATTTTTTCATTTAATCAATATTCCATTATTGAATGTGACTTTCAAAGTATTTATTGAAAGCTTAAATTTTTTTTTACCAACTCTGTTCTACATACTCTCCCACATAAATACAATATATGGGTGATTTATCCATGTGGCTATGATTAGCTGTAATAAGGATTTCTTATATCAATTCTTAGACATAGTGAGAAAAGCAGGACTCCCATTAATTTTTGTACCTCTATCAATTATTGCTTCTCCTTTGGACCCTTAATACTTACCCGTGATTTTATTAATGCATGAATTTTTTTTTCAGTATCTGAAAATCAAAATACCAAACTTTTTCTTTATGTGCCTGGTCCTGGTTTGCTGACATATGTGCACAGAGTTTTGACTTTCTTATATCCTTAAATATATAAAATAAATGGAAATTGATCCAATTACAGAATAGCTACAAAACTACATCTGGTGACCTAAGACTTTGGTAGAGTCAGATCTATGTTGCAATCAAAAGCTCCTTTAACACAGAATTGTTTGTCTGAAGACTTATCCAAGCCCCACTTACCTGCTCATCCCCTCTGAAGTCATACATCGTCCGCTCCCTCCTAGTAAGTCATATGCTGCTCACTAGCCTCTGGGAATGCTGCCGTGGCCCTAAAATATATCTGTGTTTCAATATTACTTTTCTTTTTAAACCAAGGAGTTTAGATATGAAGTGTTTAATATACAAAATGTACATGCTTATTTACTTATTGTGCATGTTTCTATCTTCCTCTCCTTTTTCCAAGTCTGATGACTGCTTACTAAATTTTAAGTCTCAAACTATCTATTCTTATCTTGATGACTGCTCATTTGTACTCTCCTCCCCCCATCCTCGACAGCTATTTCCTTTCCTTTCCCTCTTTCTTTTTTCCTCAGAGGTCCAACTCAATCCCTGCCTTGTTTATGTAGCTTTTCTTAATGACGCTAGTCCTTTGGAGGCTCTCATTTCTCTGAACTCATGTAGTGGTTGTATTTAGTATGAAAAATTACATTTGGCAGGCCATTATTCACTCTATAGAATTATAAATTTTCCCTTGTATATATCTTGTCTATCCCCCAAGACTAGAAACTCTCCAAGTCCATGTTCTGTGTGTTCAGTTCCCTTGCCTTTATCACAAGTCCTAGCATAATGCTGTGTACATAGATATCACCCCATAACAACTGGATACACAGCAGACTGTTGTAGATGGATCACCAGCCTCTTGTTTAAACTGGAAGCCTTGCTTTGCCAGTGGAACATGAAGCTTTAGTACCCTTCATTCATTCATGCAACAAACTCTTAAACATTTTGTATGTGCTAGGAACAGTGTAAATTACTGGGAATGTAACCATGAACAATACATGATCCTTGACCTCTAGTAGCTTACAATATTGCTCTCAGACCTATCGTATCATTTGCATGCATGTTAGACACACATTCCTTCATGTGCTCACATACACACATACATTCTATCACAGGGATCTTGCCCTCATTCTTTCATATAATCACCATCCATCAGCATATTACTTACCAACAATTGCTTTTCCAGCAACAAATTACAGTAGGTAACTGAAGAGATAAAGTCTCTCAGAGCAGGGGGTAAAGAAAGATAAAGACACTGATAACAACAAAACACTGACAGTGCTAGGGTAGATTTATGGTCCAAAAACTGAATTAAGAATTTATATTATTGGAGGAGGACTGATTCATAGCCTCACCAGGATAACTAGTTGATAGTTATATTTGTAAACCCTAATCAAAAAGGGGGAAGAATGAAATTATACCAGCTCATTTTTTTTTTTTATCATTTCCTGTGTTTCTAAGCAGTTGCCATCTAGGTTGGCTTAGGATGCTTTGACCATTATTAAAATGTCCAAAATGTAGCCTTTACAGAGTAAAAAATAAAAATAATTCCAGAAGCCCTATGTGATTTGGCATTTTTGTACACTTGGGTGAGTAGCATTCATAAAGGACTTGCTGAAGGTCAGAGTGAGTAGTGCCTATTAGAAACTGAAGTGGAGCCACAGAACTCTTGAAGGTCATCCATTTGGACAAAAGATTTAAAAAAGAGTGATCTTATAAGTATTTAGTTGAAATTTCCTTTTCCCCTTTGTGGTACATTTTACATGCTAATGCACTTACTTCTCTTTTCCTCTTTTACATAACTTTTCTGTAGTAAGAGCATCATTTGTAGTTGACCTGACAAAATGACCTTTTAAGTGTCTTAGAAGCATATTATGATCCAAGAAAGAAGTTAAACTTGTGAAGCAGAAAAACAAATTGTCCTTAATGGGTAAGACTAATAACCCCCATGATGATTTCTTGTTTCAAATATTGCTTAAGAAAGTTTTATAAAGTTACTGAGATTTCAAAGTCCAAGAGAAAAATACCTGTCACACTCCCCACACCATCCTGTTTCTGAAACAGTCTAGGCTCTGAAGTGGGTGGCTTTATAGTGAATGTGCAGCTATAATTTTACAAACTCAGTTAGTCCAGTATTTACAC